ACAACTTAAAAGGAAAAAACCAACAGTTATATTATCTTTCTTTTTCTGTTTGCTTGTGTGCTCATACCTACACGGTTGTTGTGTGTGTGCGTGGTTTTTTTTTCTGTTGATTATCGTTGGGTTTCTGGATGCCTATACTTTATATATCTGTGTGTGTGTATGTGTGTTGTGTGTGCGTGTGTGTGTTTCTCATCGCCACCGACAAAAAAAAACAAATAACAAGCACAACAAAGAAAATTTTTGTTTTGTAGTTAAGTATATGGAAAAACAACAGAGTTAGATTTTTCTTTTTCTTGACGGCGTGATTATTTATCTGTAAGTGTGTGTTTTTTCTGTGTATCTGTACGTGTTACTTTCAGTTTTGAAAAACAACATACACCAACGATATATAAATATGATTTCTTTCAATGGTTAAATAAGTGATTTATTTATATAGAATGATTAAAATATTTCAATAGCGCACACAAGAAATAGATTAAATAGATGAGAGATTGTTATTATTATTATTTCCTATGAAATTAATATTCTTCAGCATCAGGTGGAGCAGCATCTGATGAATCAATACCAACTTCTTCATAATCTTTTTCAAGAGCAGCTAAATCTTCGCGAGCTTCGGCAAATTCACCTTCTTCCATGCCTTCGCCAACATACCAATGAACAAAAGCTCGTTTAGCATACATTAAATCAAATTTATGATCAAGACGTGCCCATGCTTCAGCAATAGCTGTTGTATTCGATATCATACAAACAGCTCGAGGTACTTTAGCTACATCTCCACCTAAAAAAAGATTATTAAAACAATAGTATAAATATAGAATATATATATATAATAACCTGGTACAGCAACAGGTGGTTGATAGTTAATTCCAACTTTAAAGCCTGTAGGACACCAATCAACAAATTGTATTGAGCGTTTTGTTTTTATAGCTGATATAGCAGTATTAACATCTTTTGGTACAACATCACCACGATATAATAAACAACAAGCCATATATTTACCATTACGTGGATCACATTTAACCATTTGATTAACTGGTTCAAAACAAGCATTTGTTATATCTTGAACACTAAATGCTTCATGAGCAGCTTTTTCAGCTAAAACAAAATTAGATAAAATCATATTAAATTTTAATAAATCTACGAACCACTGCAAATTGGTGCATAAGTAACAAGTGGAAAATGTATACGTGGATACGGAACAAGATTAGTTTGAAATTCAGTTAAGTCAACATTTAATGCACCATCAAAACGAAGTGATGCTGTTATTGATGAAACAATTTGTGCTATTAAACGATTTAAATTTTGATAAGATGGACGTTCAATATTCAAACTACGACGACAAATATCATAGATAGCCTCTAAAAGAAACCAAACATAATGGAAAATTAAAAGAGAAAGAATCTTTAACAAACCATTATCAACCATAAAAGCACAATCAGTATGTTCCAGTGTACAATGAGTTGTTAATATTGAATTATATGGTTCAACAACAGCAGTTGAAACCTAGATTTCAAAACAAACAATAACTCCTAAGAAAAATTAATTTTTTTTATTTATTTACCTGGGGAGCTGGATAAACAGCAAATTCAAGTTTAGATTTTTTACCATAATCCAAACTAAGACGTTCCATTAATAATGATGTAAAACCAGATCCTGTACCTCCTATTCAATATTAACAAAATTAAAAAAATATGAAATATTTTTTCAATAATTACGTACCACCAAAACTATGAAATACTAAAAATCCTTGTAAACCTGTACATTGATCAGCTATTTTACGTAATTTTTCAAGAACAGTATCAACTATTTCTTTGCCAATTGTATAATGACCACGAGCATAATTATTTGCTGCATCTTCTTTACCTGAGATAAGTTGTTCTGGATGGAATAATTTTGCATAAGGTCCTCGACGAATTTCATCTTAACAGAATAATATATATGCTGAAAAAAAAGTAACGGTCTAATGAACTTCTATATACCAATTACTGATGGTTCAAGATCAATAAAAACAGCTCGAGGTACGTATTGTCCAGTTCCTATACTCACATTAATTAATCTTATAATTAAAAATATATATATAGAACATTTTCTAACCTGTTTCACTAAAAAATGTGCTAAATGATGTTTCTTTTGAATCTATACAATAATATTCAATTCAATAATCTTTCTATAAATCAATATATATATATCAAATGCAAACCTGAAATTGATTCTATTCGATAAAGAAAAAAGAAAAGAATATTATTATATTATCATTATATGATTATCTTACTAATAATATGACTACTATCTCGTTCTTTACTAAATGTTCCATCAGGTTCAATACCATGTTCAAGACAATAAAGTTCCCAACAAGCATTACCGATCTGACAACCTATTACAGATATATATATTTTTTTTAGCTCTTATTGTATCAATTCATTATTACCTGCTTGACCAACGTGAATACTAATACATTCTCGCTAAATAAATAGATTTTTTTTTGATTAAACTAAAGCAAATTTATAATAGTAACATTTACACACCATATTGTTGCTGATGATCGTGAATAATCAAATAGTGCAAAAAGAACAGAGGAAAAAGAGTGGTATTTACTCGATTGCTTATACCAAATGATAGATAGTACGACTACTCTCTTTGCAATCGTCGTCTTTCCTTCATGTACATTTTCTTCTTCTCCGTCTTCTTCTTTTTTTCTTCTTGCTACCCACATATTTTTCTCTCTTTACTTATTAATACTCCGTTTGGTTACTTGTGCACAATAGGAAGATAGTTGATGGTACATGAATATTATTTTGCTGCCCTTCTCATTTCTTCCGTCCCTTATCCCTTCATCATCCAATCCCAATGTCGATAGATTTAGTGTTCGATGAGGAAAGAGAAAAAGCCACAGGAAGAAAGACAAAACAAATCTTATCATAATATAACATCCCATGATTTCTCTGAAGGCTAACTGAATCAATGTATCTCCAATTGTCTAAGATTCCAAATACAAAGAATTCAACAGACCGAAAAGAGGACGTTGTTTGTTTAAAAAAAACACACACACACGATAGATATACACATAAAAAAAAAGAAGAAGAAGAAGAGAACCGAATAAAGTGACAGAGATATAACAAACAACACTCAAAAAAAAAAGAAGACTGAAGCAAGCGCACATCGGAGAGAGAGAGAGAGCCAACATAAACGAATAAAAAAAAATGACCAGATCTATATATTTATATATATATATATAATGTAAGACATCTAATAATCGAGTAATTTTATTGTATGTATATATATTTATTTGTTTCTTTTCTAGTTTTCTTTAAAAAAAAAAGTGCTTTTATATATTTTTTTTTGTTATATATCTGTTGTTTTTGTTTTATTCTTTTACTCTCTCTCTATGTACAACAAGCATAAACTCAAAATTCGCGATCTTCCAAAAATTTATATTCAAATATAAAATTGTCTCGTTTTCGTGTTTGCCATCGTTCATAATCGAAAAATATATATGTACCCTAGAAAATAAAATATCGAAGTTTAGATATAATAGAAGAAAGGTAACATTATTTGTACCTGTTCATAATCATCTGTTATTGTTTTTGGTTCTTCATGTCGTTGAAACCACATCATATGTTTTGTATGAAAACGCCATGATTGTCGTTTCAATGCTTTTGCAGCTAAATATTGTGCACGAGTTCCCTAGAAATTTAAATATATTAGTTTTTTTTCATTTAATATTATTTTTTGTTCGATATTTACCTCCATATAATAAAAAACAAAAAATAATGTATCAGGTGCTAAACGATAATAAAATTCTGGTGCATCACTACCAGTTGGTGGTGTTTGAGGGTAATATGAAATAATTTGTGAATTTCCAAGTGGATTTCGTCCATAAATACGATTAGAATTTGTTCTTAAAAAGCAAAGAAAATATTGGATTTTTATTTCAAAAAAAGTAAAACAAACCTTTGTCGTTCAGATTCTAATAATGATGGTAATTTTGCATATGCAGAATTTAATCGATTAAGCATTCGTGTTTCTGCTGTTGTTAATGGTACACGATTTGTTTGAATAGGTTGTGAATTTGATGATGATGATGATAACATATATCGAAGTGCATGATGATCTGGTACTTGTCCAATAATACCACTATTAGGTGATGTAAGATCAGTTAAATTATTAGTTGGTAAAAATGATGATGATGATAGTGATGATAAATTTGGAAAAGTATTATTATTATCAAGTAATGAATGTCCATCTGATGAACCATTCGTCATTAATGATGTTGGAGTATTTGTTGAACGATCAGCATCAGATATTGTACGAGAAAGTAGTGATGAAGATTGTTGAGAATTCAATGTTGTTGAATCAAGAGAATTACTTGAAGACATTTCATGAGGAATGTTTGAAGTTGGTAAAGTTGATCCTGGACCTGAATATAATGATGATGGAATTGTAGTACCATTTGCTAATGTTACTGTTGATGGTGTTGATGATGCTGCATTTATTTGTGAGATATTATTGAGAATATGTTGATTTAGTAAACCTTTCAAAATATATAATTTAAATATTTCAATAATAATTTTCATTGAAATATATATATACCTGAACGATCATTATTTCCTAATAAAGATGGTGGGTGAGAACTATTTGATGTTGAACTAGTTATAGTTGTTGTTGTTGGTATCGATGGAGTTGAAGTTGTAATCACTGCTGAATCATTATTAATCGATGTTTGTCTTGACATTTGTTTGGTTTGTGGTGAATGTATATTCTGTTGTTTTGTTGATGAATTACTACTTGGTGTTGTTGGTGTTGATGGTAACGTATTTTGTGAAACAATTGTTGAATATTGTAGTACAGGTGGCGTTGTTGTTGTTGTTGTCGTCGTTACTGGATAAGTAAAATGTGGTGGTGCACTTGTTGAAAGTACAGGTGCTGATGATAATGATGGTTTTGTTGAAGATCCTACATTAGGTGATTGTTGTTGTAATACTGAACTTTTTGGTGATGATATATGAGGAGTATTTGTTGTTGATGATCCATTTGCACCCGAATTTGAACTAGAATATTTGTTTTTTGAAGAACAAAAAAAGAACAAAATTAATTTAATATACCGATTTCGTTGTGATTGATTATCTTCAGATTCTGATTTATTTCGTTTTCGATCATCTGTTGCCGATAATGCAGGACTAGCACTTGGTGAACTTGGTTGAGTTGATGATGGTGTTGTTAAACCTATAATTGATTCATTATCTCCATGATTTGAATTTGTAGTTGATACTGTTGTACGTTCCATTCTATTCGAAAAAAAAACAAAAGTAGTTGAATTTATATTTCAAAAGAAAATTCTTTACGAATTATTTGTTAATGAATGTGAATGTAAACTTAATGATGGTGCACTTAGATCCATTAATGTTGATGAATTTGAACATAAACTACTACCATTTGGTAATGATGATGGATGAGATTGTGTTGTTGTTGCTGCTGGTACTGCAATAACTGGTGCAATACTTGTTAATATATTATCCATATCAATTTCTTCATACATTAAATCATTTTCTTTAAAATCTGATTCTTGATTTGATTCCATATAATATTCAATATCCGCTCGTAAATTATGAACTGGTTTGAGATCAAGTGCATCATTATCAATAGCACGTAGAATTTTTTCCAATGATTGTATATGAAAATTATGTCTTTCAATTGAATGTTTAGTTTCTTCTAGACGTTCTTGTTTCTAGAAAATAAACATTCATGAATAAGAAACATGAAAATTACATTTTATTTCCTAAACGATAGAAAAAATAAAGTCAATTTTTCAAATATTACCAATAATTGACATTGAAGATGTTTTTATCATTAGAAACATAAATAAAACTTTTGTCAGTACTGATTACTATTTAATAGTATTTTTGATTGATTGCAATATATCATCTGTGAATCTATTTCACAGAGAAAATATTTACTCCCTTGCGGTGACTTAGACAAACTTCTTGAATAAGAATGATATATAATCCGAACTTTTCTCAAGATTTGATCGATTAAACTTACATCTTTATCTGATTTCTTCTTTTTCAAAGACGCAGATAATGTTTCAATATCTGCTTCGAATTTATCAATTTGAATATTTAATTCTTGTATCGCATCCTAAGAGAAATTACTTATAAGATTTCATCAATAAATCAAATATTGTCAATCTACTGTGATCCATTGTGTACATTCTTCTTTTTCTTTTTCTTGTGGATCAAGTTTTTGTCCAGCTCCTAAACCTTCTTTACTATATGCTTTTGTTTTGGTTTCTCGTTCAACAACTTTAAATCTTTCCATTTGCTAGAATAACAATATTTATACAGAAATTAAATTTTCTTTATTAAATATTTATAACAAACTTGTTCAATATTTTTTCTTGCTTCTTGTAATTGTTTTTTATCTTTTATTTCTGTTGATGACATCCATGCTTTTATTTGATCCCGTAGACGTTGTAATTTTTTTATTTCTTTTTTTAAATCTGATTCATATTTATCTTTTTGATTATGATTTGGTGCTGAATGGACCTATTTTGTTGGAAAAATTTATTGAGGAAAAAATATATAAATTTAGATGTTTTTTTTACATATGAATCTACCTTTTGCCATATATCTTCAAATGTTTCAACCCCTTCAGCTACTTTCTTAAGACAACGTTCAATTTCTCCTGCAAAAAAATAAATAAATGAATCATTTTTTTATTTTATTAATAGATAAAATAATTTACCGTGTAATTTTCTCCTATCACCCATTGTATATTGTTTGAATTTATTTTTTTAATAATAATAAAAAAATGAACCATAGAACAAGATGAAAAAAAACCTTCTCTCTTCAAACTCGTTAGAGAATCAAAATACTACAGACTAATATGTAAAAAATAATTTTATATTTATCTGTAAAAAAAAATAAATAAGTTTGCTTTTTTTTAATGTTGTTTATTAATATATTAGACATTACAGAAATTGTGTGAAATAAATAAACAAAAAAACATATAGCGTATGTAATATAGACGCGCCCGGTTGGACGATCCACCAACCGATCGGCCTGATGACTAACTGAGTCATATGGCAAAGAAAAAACATATTACTTATCGAATCATATAGAAGAATTACAGAGGTCGTAGGAAAATATGAGTACTATATTTAAATACATGCAATTATTTTTTATTCTGCGTTCAAGACAGTGGCGGATTTAGGAGGGGTGATGGGGGCGATCGCCCTCCTCCCCTTTCGAATTTTTTTTATTTTTTGCAGCAAAAATGAACAACAAAATAAGTTCACACCACTTCGGTTGGACTCAAAAAATAGCTTTTAACCAAAATCGCCCACCCCTCTCCAGGTATGGCCCTTCCATACTCAAAAAAAAACAAGTCCCTCACCCCCCCACGTATTACCCCTCCATACTAAAAAAAAATCGCCCCCCCCCCTTCCAAAATTCTAGATCCGCCACTGGTTCAAAATAATCATCCACATATTTTCTTTTTCGATAATCGAAACATTAACGGTTTAATATTGAAGACAACTGTCTCGAAATGGTTAAAGACTACTTGAATTTAAAAACAAATTAATTTTCATTATGAAATTTCTCACATATTTATATGATCTATTTTTAAGACAGACGACGACGACTACTACCTATATGTGTGTTGATATGCCTGAATAGAATTTATGGGCGGATGAAATTTGTTTTAATTATTTTGATTTTTTGTATTCTAACGAACAATATCCGTTATATTGACTAAAGAAATCTAAAATGATAAAAATAATTGTATACAAATAATATTGAAAATATTTGTCAGACATTATGTTTTGTTTTTCTTCTCTAATTAACAAAGAAAAGGAAATCTATATACATATACAACAATGTGTTAACCGCACATTTCATAAAAAAAAGAGAGAGATATAAACGGTGTTTATACGGACGATGACCCATTCAATTAGATGGGTGTTGTCGGCTCTCTTATGGACTGATTAGTCGATATCTAACATGACTTGTGACATAAATGAGAGAATTGAGTATATATTGTGTGAAAGATGTTTCCGGTTAAACATCACTCCCTTCTTTTTCTTTTTCGTTGTCTATGTGTGAGTTAATTTTTTGATCTTTACTCTTTGTCGGCAATAGACATGTATCAATTTATGTTAAAAAATAAAAGACTAATTAACGAATAAAGAAAAAACAAAAATATCAAATTAGATTTTGTATTTTCTCCGATTCATCAAAAGATTTAAGTTTTCAATATTGAAAAGATATCATTCTTGGCTGCTCATTTTATAATCGTTGTTTTCTAAAATTCTCATACAAATACATAATATTCAAAGAGTATCTTTTCCGGTTACATATACATGATGCAATACATCAATGATCATTTGTCACAAAATATTGTCTATTGAATCATAAAATGAACATATAAATGGTAGTATTTTTATATGAATATTGCTAACCATCCGTTTTAACGGTTGCCTCATTTTATCTTTAATTGACTAAAATACATAGAGAAAAAAATTTTTTATTTTAATATCGATTGCTTATTTTTCTTTGTCACATAAAAAAAATCCGTGACTTCCTTCTCTTCTATAGTGTACTATATAAACTGTGCATATCAATTATTTAAATTCAAATCAATGCCAAGAAAAATATTGTCACATGAAAATTTATCTTATCTATATCGAGGTTTATTTATCATAATTATCGATATAGATAGAGCCAACTTTTTCTTTTCTCTCTTTTCTGCCACGTGATTTAACCAATCATATTCATTCAATATCCGCGGTCTATTCATTCTCTTTTTCTCTCTCGCTCTCTCCCTCCGTACGTGTATTGTGGTAGATCGTTTTTCACGTTACGTTCATTTCATCTCTTTTATTCATCATCTAATCCACTTCAGATAGATCATGCCTAAATCATCATCTCATCGTTATTCAACAGATAAATCATCACCATTATATCTTCGTCCAAGAAAATTATTTATTGATGATGACACTGGTGATAACGATTTAAATATAAGAAATTCCAAATCATCAAATCATATTATAACAACAGCATTAGCTCGTTTAACAACACGTACACCACCATCATCATCACATCATACAGTTGTTATACGAACAACAGTTCAACAAACACCATTATCCGCAAATAGAAAATTACAAATGATTGATGTTAATGTTTGTCAACAAGATAATCATCTTTCCATAAAACGTATTAAACGACAAAGTGTAAATAATTGTTCACCATTATTTAGTAAATCTACACCTGTACCAATTCGTCGAGTAAGAACGAAGTTTTAAAAAGAAAATATAAGTCAATTAAATATTTTTATTTAGGAATGTAATGTCAATCCGTTTATGACATTAAATTCAACAAATGATAATAAACCACAAAAAAGAAAACGTTCATCATTAAAACAAATGTATGTTAATTTCATAAAGCTTTCATTCTATTTATTTTTCAATATAGAATTTTTGATGAAGAAAATCTTGAAGAAAATTATCGTAGAAAAAAAGTAAAAAATATTATACTATACTATCTTTTATTTATTCTTATTTTTAAATAGCGTTTAGCATTAAAACAATGTAATGTTCATCGTTTTAATGAAGAATTTCATACTCAATCATTACTTGGTTCAGGTGAATTTGGTAATGTTTATTTATGTGTCAATCGTTTGGATGGTTGTGCATATGCAATTAAAAAATCGAAACGTCCTATAGCTGGTAGTTCATTTGAGTATGTATTATTTTGTTAAATTTATCGATAATATCATTTTTTTGAAATATAAAATAGAATGCTTGCTTGGAAAGAAGTTTGTGCTCAAGCTGTACTTAAACATCCTAATATTCTTCAATATTACTCAGCATGGGCGGAAGATGATCATATGTATATTCAAAGTGAATTTTGTAATGGTGAGTTGGATTAATCACATATGTGAAACATATGTCTTGTTCACACTTAATTTGTATTCAAACATGAATGTGTGAATTATTCTTTTTTTTTTTCTAGGAGGAAATTTATCTGAACGTATACGTGATAATCATCATCGACATTGTTATATGGATGAAAAAACTTTACGAAAAATCTTATTACATATTGCAAATGGTTTAACATTTATACATTCAAAAAATTTAGTTCATTTAGATATTAAACCAGATAATATATTTATATCGATAAATGAAGAATTAATGGCGGAAAAAAATATTATTTATAAAATTGGTGATTTAGGACATGTAACAGATATTTATGATCCATTTGTTGAAGAAGGTGATTCAAGATATTTAGCAAGAGAAGTTCTTCAACAAAAATATCAATATTTACCTAAAGCAGATGTTTTTTCATTGGCATTGACAATGTTTGTTGCGGTAAGAACTTTTCTTTTGTATGACCTATTGTGACTAATTGAATCACTTTCGTTAAAAACTATCAACTAATTATATATTTTCTGTTTTTAGGGTACAAACAGTACGCTTCCTAAAAATGGTGACGAATGGGATCGTATACGTGATGGAAAATTACCACAAATAAAACATTGTTCAGATGCATTTAATGATTTACTTCTCGTAAGTATATTTAAATATGTTAAATATTCAATTAATTCTTTTCGAAATAGACAATGATTAAACCTGATGTTACTGAACGGCCATCATCATCGGATTTAGCTGAACATCCAATAGTATCTCCAATTGGTGAACGTAGTAAAATTGAATTATTTGATGAATTACAAGAAGAACAAAGAAAAAATTCTGTTTTAGCAAAGTAAAATGATTATTTATCAATTAAATATATATATATATATTCTATTTTGTAGAAAACTTTTGGATTACATGGTCTTAGCCAATGAACTTGAACGTGTTTGTTCACAAATCCGTGCTGTTGACATGAATAAATCTTCTACAGAATCATCACCATTACAACGTTCTAGTAGTGTTAGTGATATTCGATTAACATAAGTATTGTGATATATATATATGTATGTATATACAAATAGAAAAAAGTATTTTTTTTCTCTCCCTCCATTGCTTAACTTATTTTCTTCTTCTAAACAAAACTTGAATAATTATTTTTTTTCTCGAATTTGGCTATAACTCCCCTCCATTAAGAATTACAAAGAAAAGAATAAAAAAGAAATAATAAGATTTTAACTTTGTTCTGATATGTGTGTCTGAATTTTACTCTTTTATCTTTCTTTGTTCAATTTGTTACTCTTCATGTGTATTATTCGTCTTCCTTAATGCCATTGATCAATTGATGTACAGACTGTTTTTAAACATATATTATTACTCGTATCCGTTCTATTATATAACAAAAAAAATATATATATATACATGTGTGTGTGTGTGAAAAAAATATGAACGAATTGTTATCTGTGTCTTTTCTTCTCTCTTGTTTATTATTGAATTTCTTCTATGAAGATAATCAATATTTTTCTCTTATGTTTATTGTTTTTCCTTTGTTTTTCTTATGTTGATTATTCTCTAGATGATATTATATATACACCTGTGACTTTGTTCTTTCTCCATATTTCTTGTTGTTTTTTTTTTGGCTCTTGAAAAAATCATTCGAATAAAGATTAAAATAAGATTTAAATCATTGTCTTATATTAATTAGTGTATTACTATGAACACTTATATCTACCGAAGAATTACTTCCTCATTTTGAACAAGATTGTATAATTTCTGTTATCATGTATTGTGAGTATATACATTTTGGTTGGAAAAAGCAAAAGAGACCATAAATTGTTGACCTCTATTGATGATTATTTGTAAATATTTGATAAAAAACTAACGAAATAAAAATTTGCCCTTCGAAAACGAACTTGTTTATTTCCATATTTTTCAGTAAAATAAAAATAGAGGACGCTTTTGCAAAATAATATTAAATTTCTGTTAATTATTGGTGCAAAGAATTATCCACTAGGAAAAACGGTTGGGGAAGTCTTTTTTGTTTTGTCTCTTACTTAGGTAATCTGAAGTTTCTTTCACAATTAAAATATTTATTAATTTTAGATACTTGACTGTTTTTTATTATGCTAAAATTTATCTAATCATATTTTACTTTTAAAAAGAAAAGTAATTTCATTTGATTTATATTTGAAATATGTTTTTTTCAAAATCTGATATAGATCTTTGATGAGTAATCGACCTAATACTCGTTGGGGTGCTCGACAACCACCACGTCGTGGCGGCGGTGGTGGTGGTGGTGGTGGTGGTGGTAGTAGTGGTGGCTATGATCAAAATTATGATGACTATAATTATGGTCATCAACATTATCCATCAAATAATTACGAGTATGATTCGTATGATCAATCGCAAACAAATTATGATCGTTCTTCAGCAGCATCAACATCAAAACGTTATACATCGAACAGAAATAACTATGATACAGGAAATAATTATTATTATAATCCACCACCACGTCATGCTAAAGGAAATTTTGTAGAAAATAATACCAACAATCATAACAATAATAATAATACCACCAATAGAACAAATCCATCAGTTACGAAAAAACCATTAAAAAAACAAGAATCCGAACCAACTCCTTCATTACCAAATAAAGAAGAAGAAACAACAGGTAAACATTTGAATTCCTTAGAATTCTATTCACGAGATTAACAAAATATAATCATTCGTTTATTTAGTTGAAACACCATCGACTCCGTCCGAACCAATCATTGAGCAACCAAGTGCCACACCGACTATTGAAGAACCTAAGTCAACTGAAACTCCAGTTGAAGAAGTAACTACTCCTGAAGTGCCGGAACCACCTCCAGAAGAAAATCTTGATTTACTTCGTCAACAAGTAACAAGTTATTTAACCGAACGTAGTGATCGTTTAAAACAACGTCAAGAACTTCGTGAACAAAATATTCAAGCTGAAAAAACTCGTTTGAATGCTGAACAACAACAAGCAGCTATGACACGTTTAGATTCAAGTATAAAACGTATTCCACCATTTATAAAACGTCTTCGAACATTAACCGAACAACAACGTGATGCACTTAGTCGTGATATGCAAACATTAAATTTAACACGTTATATATCCGAAGTAGCAACAGCATTAACAGAAGCGAAATTAAAAATGAGTGATGTATGGTCATCCGTTCAAATATGTTCATTATTACATCAACGTTATCCAGATTTTTCCATGTCACTCTATGAAAATTGGTTAAAAGTTTTACAAAAAGAAACATTAAATGATAATCTATCAAAAGTTCGTGTTGATTTACGATTCTATGCTGAATTAATAACTGTACATGTTTTACCTATTCAACAATCAATCAATCATCTATTAACATTATTAACAGCATTAATAAATAATGATAAAGATTTTTCTAATTTAACAATATTAATTAGTTTTTGTCGTTTATGTGGAGAAGA